ATGGTTTATAACCATTTCTTCCACTTTTTCCATGTTTTTATCGGTTGTTAATGTGCTTGTGCGTTCGGGGCGTTCGTCATCTTCAACGTGTTCACAGCCATCTTGAAAACTCTTATACCACTTGTATACTCTTGTTTTACTTATAGCAGACTCACTATAGGCCTTTGTTAACATTTCACAGAATTTATTTCATTTTTTAAGCAAAATTGGATACCAAATTCTTTGATCCATTTCTTTAAACGAACGAAAATCGCCGAGCACATAAAACACGTCTAACCTAAGCGGCTGCCACAGACAAAGTAAACAATGAAAACAAAACAAAAGTTTTTATTATGCTTCGGGGGCATGTATACCAACATAATAATCCGCCACTGCTAAAATGGTCTAAAACTACAAAGGCCTTAAAAGTAAAGTCTTGTAACGTAACAAAAAAACAAATAAACGAAACAAAATTAAATACCTATAATATTCCTGATCACGGAACCAATTTAAAACCTACAAATTAAAAAAATTTCTGTAACTTTAATATTTTTCTTTAAAATTCTTATTAATTCAATTTATGTATTTTCACTATATGTAAATATTTATGAAAAAACAATTAAAACTATTTTACGATTTTATTGTGTTGCCTTTCCTCTAGCAAACCTATTGTTTTTACTTTTCCAAAAAAACAAGTAAAAAATATAGTGTCCCCAAAACAATAAAAATACATTTTTGTGGTCCAACTTTAATGATACAAAAGGAACCATTTAAGAAAAGTTAATTTATCATAAATTATGCTAATTAGTTTTATTAGTTTTGTGGGGAAAGTACCACAAAACTTTTACCATTCCGTTAAAAAGGATTTAGATGTCATTCAAAATAAAAATCCAAACCGATTAAATTTGTAAACAAATCGTTTATTCATTTGGATATTTACATTTGATCTGATTTAGTCGCCATTAATATTTATGTTAGCTACCAAGTATTTAAAAAATCTACATAAATATTCAAGATCAACATAATTTATTACCGGGTAAGGCAAAATTGTCGTCATTGTAAAATTATGCATAATATGATTCTTATAAAAATAAATTTGTCTCTAAATGTTAAAAAGATTTCATTTTCTTGAATATCAACTTTTCAGTTTTCGTTGATGAAAACCAAAGAAATTATTGAAAATTAAATATTTCAGCTCAAAATGTTTTCTGTACCATCAATTATAGCTGAAAAATGTTGTGGTTAGTTAGAACGATTATTTTTGGCGAAAAAGTGTACAGGGTGCACCAACTATCCTACTATCCTACTATGTATGGGTATATTTTTTATTTTAGGATGTACAAGGTCGGTTAAAATAGTTAAAGTTGCGTAATTACAAGTCCATTAAAAAAAATATATTAGCGGTTCTCAAATAATTAAATAAAAACTAAAAACCTGTCAAAATCAAAAATCGTTATAAATTTGTTTGACCTTGAAAATTCCCGTCTTATTGGAATTTTACATGGTTTGAAATCATAAAAACACCCAAAAAACGGTTAAAATGGTTTTTTGGTTTAAGTTTTAAAAAAATTAAGTCTCATTGCATTTTTACTAAATATTTACCGTGTTTTCTTAAATTAATAATGTATAATAAAAGTTGAAATATGTATTAGACTACACAATACTGAAGAACAAAGAAATTAAATTATTGATTTTACTTTTGCTGTTGTGGTTTTTAAAATTGTTTTATAAATATTTATTGCTTAATTTTAATATTATCCAAGAAATTTAAATAATAATGAATCAGAATTATATTGTGGCAATCATATGTGTTATTTTATTGATAGCAATGTTTTGAAATCCAGGAAATTATTTTTAAATTTGTTAATTTATATTTTTCTGGTACCTCCTAAAGTTTTGACTTTGTACTATGCTCACATCAAAAAGTCCCACTTTGACATTTAAATAAGGAATGCATTCAACTAATTAAGGTTATGTATCTGTCAGTTCAACGCTATTTCTTATTTTCCAAAAATAATACAAAATATGTACTTTTTGTATTTAAACGTTACACTCAAAAAAGCATGAGAACTGACACAATGTGAGGATTAAGCTACCCAGCACTGATGATGTCTAATAAGACCGAAACAGACCGTCTGTTGGTGCCTGTTTGTGTAGCACGCTTAAAGCAAAACCACATAGTTATTGGACACTTAAGGAATATTATTTATTTAAAATTTATATATGCCGTTGTTTTAAAGATTTTAGTTTTTTTCTTATAAATATATTAAAAAGATAGTTTGTTTGTTTAAACTTTTTTTACGTTTACCCAAAAATAAGAATATTTGAATTTTTAATAATAGTTTTATAAAAACATGCAAAAAGTATAGTAATTGGACTCATGGACCATATTTATTGGACATACAATTTTTATATAAACATAACAACTTTACATCAAATAACATAAATTGTTAAATATTTTTTAAAGATAAATTGGTGTTTTAGGTAATTTTTTTTATTTCGTTTTAGTAAATATCATATAATTCATATATTTCTTTCTCGGATTTTTCATCCCTTTTCTGGATTCTGAAGGTAACTACTATTTCCTTGGTCTGACTTCTGAAATGGTTTCTTGCAAATATCATTAAATGTGGTATCTCTAGTTTGTGAAGCATTTATAATGTATAATATATATAGTATATACCTATCTAATATTTTTTCGCGTGGTATGTTAAAAGTATTTTCCGAATTTATTAATTTTGTTGCCATTAGTTTTTTATGTTCTCTATCATGCACTGTATTTAAATCACTGTTATTCTGCAAGATGTCCTTTGACGAAGAAATCACTATATTACTTACTCTCTAAAAACTAATTAGTCAAAAATGTAATTGCGAAAAAGCAGCAACTAATAATTCTCGTCAACAGCAATTTGTATCCAGGACATTTAGCAGTCAATTCCTATGATTCGCTGAATCCGAAAATATCGTCAAAAGTTATAAAAGTATAACAGTTTTTGAAATATAATCAATTTTATATATAATATGGAATTGACTATATCTCAAAAACTGATTAACTTTTATAGTTTTTGACGGTCTTTTCGGATTCTGGGGACAATTTTAAATAAGAATTGGCTGGTAAATGTCCGGGATACAAATAGAGTATGATATTGGACATATGTCCAATAATAGAAATTTACATTTTTTACCAACCAGTAATTGGACACTGGCCATTTTATTGTTTGTTTTCAGAATTAAAATTAAAGTGACAATGTTTAAACCATGAGGAACACATACATATATACCACACACTGATCTGTACACTTTTTAGAAATAATTTTTATTGTAATTTAAACACAGCCCTGCTCTTAACAAAAAACAAAAATCTTAGCACCAAAGTAACGTGCGAACTATTTTGTTCTCTATTGGACCTAAAATAAAGTAGTTCTATATTATTACCGAGTGAGTTAGTTATAATTGTATACAGCGTCATCTAATGATTTGACTTTAAAGTTACTATTTATAGAACCCTTGTTTTTATAGTATTAATGTTAATTAATACTATAAAAACATTAATTAATTGTCCCTATATATATTTTTTAATATTGACAAAATATTTTTTCGGCAAAATATTTAGCTCTTTAAAACCTATTTTTTAATTCAAACAAAACTTCCCATTTTTGCGCATCTTTTGACAACTTTTGGCAAACCACTATTTTTAAATTCATGCGTTCATTCTGACATACCCTGTATTATTTAATGTCTATTAAACAATGATATCAAAAATAAAAATGGCTGTAAAGTGTATGTATATGACACCATGTGGAAAAGAAATAAAACCCTGTACGAGGTGTGTTCAGAAAATAACTTGTTAAATTTCGCGGGTTCGGAGGGTCCGGTTGTCATAAAATTTTCTTTATTATGTTGGTATACATGCCCCCGAAGTATGATAACAACTTTAGCTGTTTTCATTGATTACTTTGTCTGTGGCAGCCGCTAAGGTTAGACGTGTTTTATGAGCTCGGCGATTTTTCGTTCGTTAAATGAAATGGATCAAAGAATTTGTATCCAATTTTGCTTAAAAAATGAAATAAATTCTGTGAAATGTTAACAAAGGCCTATAGTGATTCTGCTATAAGTAAAACAAGAGTTTACAAGTGGTATAAGAGTTTCCAAGATGGCCGTGAAGACGTTGAAAATGACGAACGCTCCGAACGCACAAGCACATTAACAACCGATAAAAACATGGAAAAAGTGGAAGAAATGGTTATAAACCATCAGAGAAGTCGCTGATGATGTTGATATATCGATTGGCTCATCCCATAAACTTTTTTCGAATGTTTTGGGTATGAAACGCGTGTCAGCAAAATTTGTTCAAAAATTGTTCAATTTTGAACAAAATTTTTGGCCAAAAACAATACTGTAATGATGCCCCAGCCTCCATATTCGCCAGACATGCCTCTGTCTGACTTTTTCCTATTCCCAAAAATAAAGAGAACCTTAAAGGGCCGTCGTTTTGCAAGCATAGATGACTTTAAAAGCGAATCGCTGAAAGAACTAAAGGCTATCCCAAAGAGCGAGTTTTAGAAGTGTTTTAAGAAGAGCTGGCACATGTGCATAATATCCAATGGGGACTATTTTGAAGGCGACAACATTAATGTAGACGAATAAATAAATATTTGTTTCAAAAAACGAAAATTCCCGATATTTTCTGAACACACCTCGTATTGTATGGTAAAAAAAAAAATTATAAAATTGCGTTGTTAAACTCTCATTATAAATTTTTAAGTATGTAGATACAATTAAATATAATTTTACCTACTTACTCAAAGCCAGACGCTATAGAAATAGTGAAAAAAGGTTATTTTTTGGCATTCAGCAAATTGAAAGAATAACGTAGGTATGTCTTTATGCCAATTGTCCTTGACTGAACGTTATGCGTAAGAGATAGTTCCATCACCTAGATTTGTTAAATTAATTTTATCTACCATTCATTTACATGGAATAATTAATATTGCACAAAGTGTATTTGAAGATGTTTGAAGGTGCGGGAGGGGATGTTGGCCAGAATATAAAAGCCCCAAATAGATTTGGAAACAGTGTCAAATACTTTTACCTCTCCTGAGTAACACACAGTTGCTCTAATCAAGAACAAGATGAGACCTTTAGTGGTAAGTAAATTGTGTGTTCACCCACCGCCGCCAATTGTGAAAGTAAACCGGAACTTACATCGCACATAGAATATTTTGGCAGTGATTTTAGTGCTTCAATACGCGAATTGTGATTTTTTTTACGCGGTGCTTTGTTCAGTTCAATTAAAGGGTTGAAGGGCGTAAACTGGTTTTCTGGAAAGAGGTTTTTAGTTTAATTTTGTTTAACTTGAAATGCTGGATATTTGAAATAAAAAAATTTCATGGTTATATTTCTAAATAAGATTTATACCCATGGAGCTGTAAAGTTTTTATTCCAGAGATCCAACGTGCCAAGTCGATTAAAATCATACTAAATACTAAATTTCAGAAAAATGGAGCTGATCAGTTCTTTCACACAACCCATATAATATAAATAAATAAATTTATAATAATTTGTTTGTTTGCTTATATGTTTGTTTGTTAGGTGAAAGTAGATTGAGTCTTAGTCTCTATTTTTGTATTTTAAATTTAACTTTATTCATCAAGCATTCCGTCTGCAATAGGCCTCCATCATCCAAATAAAGTTTTTTTTATAATTATTTACTGTTGAATTTAAGTTAACTGTCAACTTTTCATGTAATATTTATTCAGACTCAATCAACTGTTAGATAAATTATCAGGCTCGAGATCGCTTCAACTGAGGGTTCGCAATTGTCTATTACGCCTCGTTTGTCCAAAGCATTAACATTTCTTTAACAATTTTTAGTTAATCTCCGCTCTAGTGGCCATATGTAGTGCCCGTCCAGAAGCACCAGGCGGCTACAACTACGCAGCCCCAGGTGGCGGCTCCATCGGAGGCGGTTTCTCTTCCGGCGGTTCCATCGGACACGGTGGTTCCGGGATCGGAGGTTTCTCTTCCGGCGGTTCCATTGGACACGGTGGTTCCGGGATCGGAGGTGGTTTCATTTCCGGCGGAAACTCCGGTTTCAGCTCCGGTGGATCTGGATTCTCTGGAGGCAGCATTGGTGGTGGTTCCGGATTCTCCAGTGGCGCTGGATTCTCCAGCGGCGGTTTTGGAGGTGGTGTCCAAGTACACAAACACGTCTACGTCCATGTTGCTCCAGAAGAACCGGAAGAAAGACGTCAACAAGCTCCGATCCAGGTAGCCGCTCCACAGAAACACTACAAGATCATCTTCATTAAGGCTCCGTCTGCCCCAACTCCAACCGCTCCAATCATCCCAGTCCAACAACAAAACGAAGAGAAGACCCTCGTATACGTTCTGGTCAAGAAACCAGAAGAACAACCAGACATTGTCATCCCAACTGCCGCTCCAACTCAACCCAGCAAACCGGAAGTATACTTCATCAAATACAAGACCCAAAAGGACGCTTCTGCTGCTATCGCTGGAGGAATCGGGGGCGGAATTGGAGGAGGTATTGGAGGCGGTATTGGAGGTGGCATTGGAGGCGGTATCGGAGGCGGCGTTGGAGGAGGAATTGGCGGTGGTATCGGAGGCGGTATCTCTGGCTCTGGAATCGACGTCCACTCATCTTCCTTGGGAGGTGGTTCCTCAATCTCTTCCGGATCTTTCACCTCTTCTGGATCCGGCGGTGTCTCCGGCAAATACGGAGTACCCGGAGCTCACGGTTATTAAGCCGGAGTCAAGTCAATCTCAGCAGCAACTCATCCTACGGGTACAAGGCCTTTTCCATTTATCAATTTTGTTTGGTAGGGGCACAATATTGGACCATTGTAATGTGATATTACACTATAACATTTCACTTGTAAATACGAACATGTTAGGTTTAAGTATATTATTTTATTTTTTTATTAATCTCGCAATACACGGTGACAAATAAATGTATTTTTCTAATTAATTTGGTATTTATTTTAACCCCACATCAAATATAATAAAAAGTCTACATTATATTTTATATGGACTTTAAAAAATATTTAAAACAAAATAATTAAAAAATTGCATTATTTATTTAAATTTAAAAAAATAGTATTTTCTCCAATAAAGTTAATAACCCATAATAACACTATTACTAAAACGCATAGCTATGGAATATTTTTTTTAAGCACTTACTTAGTTAAATAACTTCTTAAGATTTTGTCACATTATTTCTAGGTTAGGTCCAACTGACATTATGACATTTTAGCTTTATTTCTGTAAGTAGTTTAATAATAATTTGACTTTTATTAATAATATGTCGCAAAGTCAAGAATTTCTACTTATTAAACGATTAACTATCTTTCTGACTTTACTGCTCCCACCTTTAAAACGCCCATTATCGTACATGTTTTCATGACCTTCGGTCAACTATGTTTTAAATACACATTGACAAGTTGTGGCTGTATGGCGCTTTAATCACAGGCTAAAGTTAGTTTTAAGTTAGACATGTCTAGACAACTGCAGTTGTCAAATATTTCAATACAAAAATACAAAAGTATTAAATAGTTTCTTAATGCCAATATTTGAAAAAAATATATGAACGTTTGTACCTTTTGATTTCGCCGTAGTAGTGCAGTTAACTAGATAATCTAACTAATAAAGCATTGAAAATTTTGCGTACAGTGTCCATAAAACATTCTCTTCTCTTTTACTGTGAAAAACTGCTTCTATATCTTTTGTTAGTCTTTTTTTAAGAGATAAATTTTGATTTACACAAAAAAATTTGAGATTTTAACGCCGGTAGATTCCCAAGTTAAAATTTTTAACGGAAATTCCAATAAATACAACTTTCACTTTTTGTAGGTACCTTAACATTTTCTGTGTAAGAATTTTTAATACTTTGTGATAATATTTTGCAATTATAGTAAATAAAAAAATCAAAGGATAAAATATTTTCTTAACATAATCATATTTTAAAGTTATTTTAATATTTTAAAGTATAAAAAATTGTTAAGTTTAATTAAAATAATAAAAGGCAATGTTAATGGTGAAAATTACGTCAAAAATATTTATTGGAATGGTTACTTTATTTTCGTAAAGGTATCGCATTATACAAATATTTAATTAAAATCATTTTTTAGATAATATTAAGTATTTGTCGTAAAAAATGTGTAGTATGCAACTCGTTTATAAACTTTCTAGGCACTCATTTAATTAAGCACTCACTCGCAAGCTCGGTCGTGTCTAAATTAAATTCTTGACTTGAATTTAATAAACTTAATAATTCTGTACCCACATTAAAATTCTTGACCTTGCAAGTGCACATTAAGACAAATTTTGTCTTAGGTAGATAATGTTGACATTATAGGTTATGTGCATGAATTTATTCTACAGTGACCTGTAACTTTACATTTTCTTTGCTTATTTCAATCTAAACGCGATAGATGGAACCACTCTTCCTATGTTATTTAAATGTATTTTCATTATTGACGGCGGTGTATAATCTGACTTTTGAGCTGCGTACAAATAAGAAGTCTTTCTATATAGTCTCCTGAGTGTTATAATTGTTTTTGTATTCCATGTCTTGATATTTTCTAAAATTTAAACCAATTGAAAATTTGAAAACCTCCAGGTTAGAATTATGCTGTATCGTTTTTTGGTTAACTAAGATATCTATAATTTAGAATTTTTATATATTCCCAATTTTTAACGGTTTTCTTGATAATTAAAATGGCATCTGTACTCACCCAAAAAGGTAGATGTCTGTATTTAAAAAGGTTATTCATTTATTTTTAAAATAGAATATATAAGAAAAATGATATGTTTTATTAATTTATTTTGATTTCCAAAGGCGAATATCCCTTTACATTAAGGCGTCTTACCCACCCCAGTGAAATAAATGCCTAATATTTTATTTATTTTTGCTGTATCATCTATTGATTATATTGATATGAATTAAAAATATATGTATACGAGGTGTGTTCTGAAAATAACGGTAATTGTTAAATTTCGCGGGTTCGGAGGGTCCGGTTGTCATTGTTTCTTTATTATGTTGGTATACATGACCCGAAGTATGATAAAAACTTTAGCTGTTTTCATTGATTACTTTGTCTGTGGCAGCCGCTAAGGTTAGACGTGTATTATGAGCTCGGCGATTTTTCGTTCGTTAAAAGAAATGGATCAAAGAATTTGTATCCAATTTTGCTTAAAAAATAAAATAAATTCTGTGAAATGTTAACAAAGGGTATAGTGAGTCTGCTATAAGTAAAACAAGAGGTTACAAGTGGTATAAGAGTTTCCAAGATGGTTGTGAAGACGTTGAAGATGACGAACGCCCCGAACGCACAAGCACATTAACAACCGATAAAAACATGGAAAAAGAGGAAGAAATTGTTATAAACCATCAGAGAAGTCGCTGATGATGTTGGTATATCGATTGGCTTATCCCATGAAATTTTTTAGAATGTTTTGGGTATGAAACGCGTGGCAGCAAAATTTGTTCTAAAATTGTTAAATTTTGAACAAAATTTTTGGCCAAAAACAATACTGTAATGATGCCCCAGCCTACATATTCGCCAGACATGGCTCCGTCTGACTTTTTCCTATTCCCCAAAATAAAGAGAACCTTAAAGGGCCGTCGTTTTGCAAGCATAGATGACATTAAAAGCGCATCGCTGAAAGAACTAAAGGCTATCCCAAAGATCGAGTTTTAGAAGTGTTTCGAGTATTGGAAGAAGAGCTGGCACATGTTCATATTATCCTATTTGGAAGGCGACAACATTAATGTAGACAAATAAATAAATATTTGTTTCAAAAAACGAAAATTCCCGATATTTTCTGAACACACCTCGTATATGAAGAAAAAAGTCTATTTTATACCATGGATGGTTTGAATAAAAAAAATTAATTAAGAAGCAAATTACGAAAAGTATGGCATCTATCCTGACTACTTTACTTTATTTGGCAATAGTTCAAAATCCTTATTAAATTAATATTTTTTTAATTAAAATTTTATCATAATCATTTTTGAAGGTTAATATGCGTTACAATACATAAATTCCTAACTGAACGTATGTGCACATCTCACATATTAATAATTAATCTTTTAGAGCAAAAAACTCATCTAATCAAGAAAGCATTATAATAATTTAGCATTTCAATTTTTGTGCTATAATTGATGACCTTAACAAAAACAAACTTTTAAAAATTCCCCAAAATACTTACTTAATTTAACGCTCATTTCACATAGAATAATACGGTAATTACACATTCAAGTGTTTAGCAGACTTTGGCAAGGGGGGCAAAGCAAACAATATAAAAGTCCACTTTTGATTTGCTAACACCGTCAAATACCTCAAGTCTTTAAGGTAATAACCATTTACCAAGTTCAAGCACAAGATGAGACCTTTAGTGGTAAGTAAATTGTGTGTTTGACATTGTGAAAGCAAATTGGATTAACATCAAAAATAAAAATCTAGCAGTGATTCTAGTGCTTCAATACGCGATTTGTGACTTGTATTGAACTGAAGAGTTTGGTGAAAAGACCGGTCATCTCCATTTTTCAGAAGTTAAGTTTTTATCTTTTTTCTTTGTAAAAAAAACTGACAGCTCCATGGTTATAATAGTAAATATAACCATGGAGCTTTTGGTTTTTTATTTAAAAGATTCTGCATTTTAAGTTCTGAAAAAGGTGACCGTTTTTTTTTCAATAAACTCATCGGATAAAAAAATTTGCACTTAAAAATGCAGAAGCTAACACTTCTTCTACAATTTTTAGTTAATCTCCGCTTTAGTGGCCATATGTAGTGCCCGTCCAGAACCACCAACTGGCTACAATTACCCAGCTCCAAGCACCGGTGGACACATCAGTGGCGGCTCTAACCCAGGCGGCTTCTCTTCCGGAGGTTCCATTGGACACGATGGTGGACACAGCGGAAGTTCCGGATATAGCTCTGGTAGCTCCGGTATAGCTGGAGGATCTGGATTCTCCTCAGGCGGTTTTGGAGGTGGTGTCCAAGTACACAAACACGTCTACGTACATGTTGCTCCAGAAGACCCAGAAGAAAGACATCAACAAGCTCCAATCCAAATAGCCGCTCCACAGAAACACTACAAGATTATCTTCATTAAGGCTCCGTCTGCCCCAACTCCAACCGCTCCAATCATCCCAGTCCAACCACAAAACGAAGAGAAGACCCTCGTATACGTTTTGGTCAAGAAACCAGAAGAACAAGCAGACCTTGTCATCCCAACCGCCGCTCCAACCCAACCCAGCAAACCAGAAGTATACTTCATTAAATACAAGACCCAAAAGGGCGCTTCTGCTGCTATCGGTGGAGGAATCGGGGGCGGTATTGGCGGTGGTATCGGAGGCGGAATTTCCGATGTCGACATCAGGTCATCCAACTTTGGAGGTGGAGTATCTCTTAGTGGAGGAGTCAGCCACGGAAGCTCCAGCACTTCATTCACATCCTCCGGATCTCATGGTCCTTCCGGTGTACCTTCGAAATATGGAGTACCCGGAGCTCATGGTTACTAGAATCTCGACGATCTCAGCCAATCATGTTACGGGTACAAAGCCTTTTCCAATATTAATTTGGTAGGGGCGATTCATTGCACCAATGGAGTGTTATGATAAGCACTAAATTTCATTTGTAAATACATAATTATGTTAGGTTAAGACCACAAAGTTTATTTTTTATACTTGCTTTTAAAATACGGTGACAAATATATGCCTTTTATAATGATCTGTTTTTTTTACTAAACTCTAAAAAGTTTACACCAGGTAAAGAAATAAAAATATTAAATACAGTAAAATCTTTGGTACATTCAAACGCTGCAGCGCGCTGGGTAACAAAATTTACCAGCTGAGGTACACTTAAATTAGTAGAAACTGTCAAAATATTTTACCAAAGTAATCCAATTTAGGATAATTAAATAATTTATTCAAACTCAAAGTCTTGTAGTATAATTTTAAGCTTTTTTGACCCCCGTGGAAACTTGAAATTTACATCCTTTTTGTGCCCCCGAGACCCAATCTTTTCTTGCGTTACGAAGTCCATTTTTTATGAATTTTCCGTCAAATTTCGGCATTTTAATTAAAATCGCTTGAGAAGAGAACGAATAAATATTTTTCGAGCGAATTTAGGGAAAAATTGCTTCGGGACGGTAATTACTCCAAAATGGAAAGGAAATTGGGCAGATAAAAAACAAAAATCGAAGGGTAAAAGAATGCATACTTAAAGATAATCTTTATCCGCTTTTTTATTTTTAACAAAATTTTAATTAACATTGCGTCAAATTGTCAAATTTGTCCAAATTTAATTTTAAATTCTGAAAAATATTAGTAATTATTAAAAACCATTTATCATAATCAGGTGAATCTTTGAATTAATGTCAATTTAATTTTTTTTGCAAATCATGATTTGCAAGTAAATGCATACTTGGGTGCCCCATCGGGTTTTCGCTATCTGGTGGCGCTCGTTAGCATTACAATAATTGAACTACAAGGTTTGTCAGCGATACATTTAAAGCATACGAACTGCACATCATATATTATGTATCAAGTTAGTTTGGCATAAGCGAAGCTTGTGAGCGAGTGTTTAATAAAAACGAATGTCTAAAAAAGTTTATAAACTATGCATACTATACTTTATGTACGACGAACACAAAACAGAATTAAAAGCAAATTTTATTTTTGCATCTGTTAACTGTCCCCCGAATTTAACCCTACTTTTTCCCCATTTATAACAAAGCCAACTTCATCCCGTGACTAAAACGCCATAAAGTTACAGCACGTCAATGTAGGAGTAGATAATAGTATATTATGTATCCAGTTTGATAAACGCCATTTTAGTCACGAATTTAATTTAGGCACAAGCGAGTGCTTAATTAAATGAGTGCCTAGAAAAGTTTATAAACTACACTTTTTTACGACATATAGGTACTTATTATTATCAAAAAAAATGATTTTAATTAAATATTTGTGTAACATCTATGAGACATTCTTTTACAAATCGTACACCTATTTTGACTTCAGGGTTTGGATTCGCATGAAAATTTTTTTACCGCTTCTATTCAGTAAATAAGCAGATACGTGTATCAGGTTTTCTGTAAAAATTAGTTTTTTCAGAGATATGTTGATATAAAGTTTTTATGAATTGCGATAAAACGATGAATTCTCTTCTACATAAAACCCATTATCTCCGGTTCTACTGATCGGATCGATTTTGTTTTTTTTTGTTTTAAACCTTATTGAATAGGCTTTTCAAATAAATAAATTAACTTTTTTTTTTTAAGTATAGGGAGTTAATAACAGATTAATTTTTTAAACTAGTTTTTCATGTTTCACTATTTTATGCGCTTTTTCTTTATCTACAAAATACATTTTTCAGAACAGTGGAGACTCTTTTGGATCGGAAGATATTAAACATTTTCGAGCGCGTGACAGGACTGTCAAGCGCGTAATATTCAAACGTATTAGTGCATGTGGCGGGTGACGTGATATTTTGTATAAGAGTGCCATGACATCTTTTAATTGACTTATTTGTGCAAATGTCAATTCTGCCAGTTAATAAATTTACTCATTAATTGGAGTTTGTATTATTTAAAATTTAATTTATTTAAAATTATTGAAAACCTTTAAAATCAGAATTAATTTACAAAAAGCGCTGGTATTTTTTTAAAACGATGTATGAGTTTACACTATCCTAAATGTGTTAGCGTTTTGAAGATGTCTGATTAGGGGGTGTCCATTAATTACGTGAGTCAATTTTAGCGATTTTTTGACCCCCTCCCCCCTTGCTGAGATGTCGTGAGATTTGGCTCAACCCCCTCCCCCTAACCTCACGTGAGATTTTAAAAAATGCTTATTTTTAATGTTTATACGTTAAACTGCTTGATTCTGTTGGATTTATTAAAAAAACATACTTTGTTAAAAATTACGTGATATTTGCCGAGACCCCCCCTCTCCCTTACGTGAGAATTGATGAGATTTGGCTTGACCCCCTCCCTCCCCTAATCGCCTCACGTAATTAATGGCTGCCCCCTTACGGCTTGTACCGGTCACGCGCTCGAAAATATTTAATATCTTCCGATCCAAAAAAGTCTCCATTTTTCTAAAAAATTTATTTTGTAGAGTAATAAATAGTGCATAGAACAGTATTTTTTTAATTTTTTTTCATAGAGGGGGCAAACACAAAAAATCTGTTTATACAAAAAAAATATTTTTTTCATATAATAAACAAAACACAAACTTTTTAAATATTTATCTAAAAAGACTATGTAATATGGTTTAAAATAAAAAAAAATGAAATCGATCCGATCAGTAGAACCGGAGATAATGAATTTTAAGTACAAAAGAATTCAGCATTTTTTCAAATTTTATCAAAAGTTTAAATCAATATATCTTTGGAAAAATAAATTTTCTGCAAAAATTCCGATATAGGGGTCGGCTAAATTTATGAAAAGATGCTGTAAAAAAAAATTAAGTCATTTTAAAAATTTGAAAAAATATGTTTTCTGTAATCCGTACGATATGTAAAAGAATGTCTCCTATACGAAAATAAAGTAACCATCCCAATAAACATTTTTGACGTAATTTTTACCATTAACATTGTCCATTATTATTTTAATTAAACTTAACAATGATTGATCCTTTAAAATATTAAAATAATTTCAAAATATGATTATGTTAAGAAATTATTTTATACTTTGTTTTTTTTGTTACTATTTTTGTAAAATATTATCACAAAGTATTAAAAATTCTTAGACGGAAATTGTTAAAGTTACAAAATGTGACAGTTAGAATTTCTAACTTAGGAATCTACCGGCGTTAAAATCTTAAATTTTTCTTTATAAATCAAAATTTATCCCTTGAAAATAGACTAACAATCGATATAGAAGCAGTTGTCAACTAACTTAAAGCTAACTTCAGCCCGTGACTAAAAACCTGTTGCTAACTTTAGCCCTTGACTAAAACGCCACAAAGCCACAACTTGTCAATGTGTATTTAAAAAGTCGATTGATTTTTAATCAAAAAATTGCCACTTTAAAATTTAAAACTACAATTTTTAAAAATCAATATTTTTAAACTTAAAGTTTAACAGTTGCATTTTATATTTAAAATATTTTTTATTCGTCAATTGTTTTAAGTTTAAAAAATTGAACTGTTAAACTTTTTAAACTATTATAAATGCTACTATGGAAATTTAAACGAATGTGACATGTAAGTATATTGTGTTCTTTGGCGCTACGCGCTCCTATCATAATCATATACCACCGCAAAATTTATCGCTAATAAAATAATTCATAATATTAAACTTATAATTGAGGTAACAAATATATAACTGCCATAAACTCATTTATGGTCTAAAATACTTATAAATTTTAAATAGCGTTTAAATCAGTTTGGCCCACATTACAGGTTATAATTGACTATCAATAAAAGCTTTCATGGATGTGATCGTTGAAATATTTGTTGTGCAATGGACAACAAATTATTAATATTAAATGAGTGGTTTTTGCTGAGAAGACTCAGTCATTAATACATGCTAAAATTACATAATTTTACCTTTTGTTGCGATCTTAGCCAGATGCTAATAATAACAGTTTCACAACAAATGCGTTTTACCTACAAATTCATATCTATCTAAATTATGTTGTTTCATTAATATTGAAGCAATATTTATTGGAATCAGGTGTCAAAATTGTAAACGCTTATTGAATATAAAATATATTTTAATATTATTAAACAAATAAATACAAATCAAACAAATGGCATAAACACACAACAAACTCTTATGTTAAGTAATATTTTCTCTCTACCATACTTTTTTTAAGAATCGATTCATATGACGACGCATCTAGAACGAACAATAGATGACGGGTCTGATCTTAAGATTCTTGGTACCTTCGTCGGAGCGATCTTGATTTGGGTACTCCGTAATTAGGTTTGGGTGCTCCGTATTTAGAACCAGGTTCTTTACCATTACTTTTAGGTTTGTATGACGATATTTCTGGTTCTGACTCGTTATTTTCATCTGAGCCTGTGTTAATTTTGATCATTTCTTCTACTTTACTAACGACTTTTTCTCTCCCGGAACCCTCTTTCTGCGTTTTGTACTTGATGAAGTATACTTCTGGTTTGGTGGGTTGTGTTGGTTCCGGTGCTGGAACCGTTATGTCTTCCGGTGCTTCCGGACGTTTTACCAGAATGTATACCAATGTTTTTTCTTCGTTTATTTTCAGTGGAGAAATCTTTGGAGCTGCCGGTGGAGGGTAGAATGGCGCTTTTATGAAAATGATTTTATAATGTTTTTGATTGGCAGCAGCAGGTTTTACTACTTGCTGTGCTGGTTTTATCTCTAGTTCAGCAGGAGGTATATGGAAGTAGACATGTTTAAATACTTCGGTACCTCCACCTCCAATTGCTTCAGATTGTCCTTGATTACCTCCTTGGTGTTCCTGGTGGAAAGGATTTTGCTGTTGCTGAGCACCTCCCCCATTAAACTCAGAATGTCCTCCAGAACTATATCCACTTGGTTCTCCAGAGCTATATCCTCCTCCTTGTGCATTTGAACCCCCTGAAACACTAGGTCCTTGACTGTAACCTCCTCCTAAAGATGCACTAGGTGCTCCAGAGCTATAGCCTCCTTGGGATGATCCACCTAACTGTACATTAGGTGTTACAGAGCTATAACCTCCACCATGGGAAGCACTAGGAGCTCCAGAGCTATATCCTCCTCCACTTGAAGCTGCACTAGGTGCGCCAGAGCTGTAACCTCCCCCATGAGTTGGTGCAGCAGGTGCCTCAGCGGTATAACCTCCTACATGAGGTGAACTAGGAGCTCCAGAGCTATATCCTCCTCCACTTGAAGCTACACTAGATGCGCCAGAGCTGTAACCTCCCCCATAAGATGATGCAGCAGGTGCTCCAGAGGTATAACCTCCTCCATGAGGTGAACTAGGAGCTCCAGAGCTATATCCTTCTTCACCTGGAGCTGCACTACGTGCTCCAGAGCTGTAACCTCCCCCATGAGATGGTGCAGCAGGTGCTCCAGAGGTATAACCTCCTCCATGAGGTGAACTAGGAGCTCCAGAGCTATATCCTCCTCCACCTGGAGCTGCACTAGGTGCGCCTGAACTATAACCTCCTCCTGCTGCTACTCCACCTTGCGCTGCTCCAGGTTGTGCGGTGGGGTAAACTATATGTAAGGCCTCAGGTTGATTAGGTTTACCAGAATTATAACCTTCTTCTCCATGCATTAGCATGTTTGACAATATACTGTTTCCTTGAAAAAGATCGCCCCCATTTCTGGAACCGTGGATTGCCTGTGTCATAGAACCATGCCCTGCTGGTGCTGGGTATTGGTACCTAGACGGAGGTTCAGGTCGGGCACTACACATGGAGAAAAATAACTAAACAAAAGTAATAAATTATTAATTTGTTTTGCTCAAGTTACTGTTACTATACTTACAATTAAAAACTGTACATGCCGCATAGTTTTGAAGATATAAAAGCAATTGACTTTATTTTCTTATTTGGCTATGGTTTTATAGTTTGATCTAATTTCCCCTCTGTTGTATGTTTTTTTATTTTTTTACAAATTGCTTTAATTGTCTTAATGTAAATTAACTAGTTAATTACAGAGATATTAAATTTTTAAAATCCAATCCTCTTTTTCTATATTGTCAGCTTTTCGCTAGATTTTTTTCTATAACTAATATGCAATTTGGTTTTTAATTTTTTTGTAATTAGGACAAATCAGGATGTATATATCTATAAATATTAAATTTTATTATCTATCGAAATACAAGATTGCTTTTTATATAATATAATAATAAAATATACCTATAAATTAATGTAAATTAAATTTATTAAACGTTAAAAAAATTATCAAATATACACTCATTAACATAAAATATGCAGAAAGCCGCTGCTAGTTATACAAAATAGATTTTATTCTATTGATTTATAGAGTTTTTTGAAAATGTGCAAAAAATAGCGGGGGACTTTATATAAAAACTTTGACAATATTGCCAAAAATGTATTCTTATCATTTCTAAGCAGTAAGATGAGACAATTAATTGTAAGTATTACTAAAAACTCTTTTTGAGTTCCGCAATAACAAAATATTTAATTTTTTTAGTTAATTTTCGCCATAGTGGTAATATCACAAGCAAAGCCGGGTTATGACTATCCACAACCCCCTCAAATTGATGTAAGATCCCAATTTCCTCAAGGTTCCCAAATTAATGTTGGTAACAATTTTGGAAGTGCTATTGGTCCCATCGGAAACACCTTCCAAGGTGGTATCGGTGCTGGTAATGGTCTTGGTTCAGTGGGAAATACATTGGTGTCATTCCAAAACGGTATTGGTGCTGGTAATGGTCTTGGCTCTGCCGGAAACTCATTTGGATCCTTCCAAAACGGCATTAGTGCTGGAAATAGCCTGGGCGCCGTTAGAAACACATTGGGTTCCTTCCAAAACAGTATTAATGCTGTGGGTTCCGGCCCCATCATCCACAAGCATGTCTACGTGCATGTAGCACCTGAGGATCCCGAAGAACCCTTCAGAAACGCACCTATTCCTGTAGCACCAAAGCAAATCCATCACAAAATTCTCTTCATTAAGGCACCAAGTGAGGCACCAAAAGCACCAAGAATTGTTGGACAACAGGCCGGCCAACAGGAAGAAAAGACTTTGGTTTACGTTTTGGTAAAGAAACCTGAGGAATTAGGCGACATTCAAATACCACAACCTGCCCCAATTCAACCTAGCAAGCCTGAAGTATACTTTATCAAATACAAGACCAATAAGGAGGGTGGTGCTTCATCTGGTGGTTCCGGTGCTTCTTTGACTGATGATTCTATTACCATTGAATCTGGTTTAAGAAACGCTCAAAATTTGGGACCAATCGGTAACACTGGTGGTCTGAATTTGGGTTCCTCATCTCTTGGGGCCAATGGTTTAGGTTCTCAAGGTTTAAACTTGAGTCCCTTGGCTGGCGGTTTGGGTTCTTTATCCCTTGGTAGCCAAGGTTTGGGTTCTCAAGGTTTAAGTTTGGGTTCTTTGCCAGCTGGTAGTGGTTTGAATTCAGGAGCCTTTATTAGGCAATCTGCTCCTCAACCAGTATATGGCCCAGCTGCTTAGTGACTTACCAAGTTTGGCTGATTTAATTAATGTATATTTTTGTAGATAATTTTAGTTTAAGTTTAGAATTAAGAATACGGTGACAAATAAATAAAATTTAAAAAAGAAATTTTGTTTAATTTCATTATAATTTTAAACAAAAAGATTCATTATTAACTAAATTATAATTTTTTTAAATACTTTCTATTTGCTAACTTATTTATTTATGGACATTTAAAAATTTAACGATTTGAATTAACATTTAGATATTCAGCAATAAGATTTATGATTATTTTTTATATTAAACAATTAGAAGATAATTTAAAACAATTTGACCCAGAAGTAAATGGTTGATGGTTTTAGGTAATTTTTAGAACGTTACTTTAAAACACTTTAAGTCTTTATTAATACGATTTAAGAGCAGTTTTAGGAAGGTTTTTATTATTTTTTTCGAAGATTTTGATTCGTTATAACCCCTTTGTAATGGAAGCAAGTTAGCACTTTTTTATATCTCCCATGGAAAATGTGCTTGTTAAACAATATATATTTATTATAAACAATATAAAATCAATTTATTTTTTTTACAAGTTTTGATGCACAGAAGTATTACGAGACTTTCTGTAAGATAAAATTGTTAATTCTTAATAACAACAATATTTATGAACATTTTTCTCAGCGGGTTTTTTGGGGCGATTTGTTGGTTTTATTGAGACATGATTTTATAGCAAAATCTCAAGCAGGACATTTGCAAACCTATTTTTTCTGAAAATTAAACATTTTTTGTGCAAAATGAAATCTAATTGCAGCATTGGACAATTGGACACGTCACGTCTACGTTTTGTATTATAAAAAAACAATAAAAAAATGCACGTGATGTCAACATGGCAGGTTGGGACATTTAAAAGACACTTTTATTATACAAATCCACAAAAAACATTTTTTTTTAGTTTTTATTTGTGTAGAAAACAAATGGGAAAACAAATGGGAATTTAATAATAGTATAATATATTAAAGGAATGTCATAAGACGTCATTTTGTCGCACGCGGACAATTTGGACGAGTGCGACAAAAGGTTTTATGACATGAGTTATTTATGCTATTTTATCTATTTTGCAAAAATTCTATAAAAAAAAATAATTTTATATCTTAAATTTAATTTGGTCGAATTTTACTTTAGATAGTTGGTATCACAGTCATTTGACAGTTAATGTCAAAATCGATTCGCCATGCCGTCCTTAATTTACTTATTTACAATAAGCGTGTGTTAATATTAAAGAAGAAAAAAAGGATTTTCTTTCGTGTTAAACAAAATTTATTGCCAGAAAAGTCTCGTAAGTATTGGAAAAATCATAAAAATATATCCTATATGCAAAATATTATGTTGTTTAAAGTTTAGCCAACCTATAAAATCAAAATTTTGGGTGGGATAAAGTATCTCATTACAGCACGGAAAGCGGTGTTATAATGAAGTCATTATTAACGCAAAATAGATAAAAAAATTACGATTGTCCACCACCAAAACAATAGGTCAAACGCGGTCTTAACATTGTTTGAGTCATCAAAAAACCAAACATTATTATGTAAAATATTTGTTAAATAAAAATAAGTTTATATCATTATAAAATATATTATTTAAGGTTAGTTTTTTGTTATCATGCAATTTTAATATTAAAACCTTTTTTAAAGTACGTCATTCAGAAATTCACGAATTCTATTGATATTAAGAATAACAATTTTTTCTTTTACATAATGTCGCGTTATTTGCATTAAAACACTTTTCCAGAGACCCAAAATTTAAATTGATTTTTAATTGTTCAAATTTTGTTTCACATAAAATTTAGTCTTTTATACTAATTTTGACCTATCATATGTAAAGTTTCAAAAAACTGTTTATGAAATATTTATGTTTAAAAAAATACGAGCTCAAAACTTAAAAAAATGCATTTTTTGAAACCATAGCAAATCCAAAACTGCAAAAAAACAAAAAATACAACTTCGATTTAAAGTGGCTTATTTAAGAAATTTTGAGCCAAATGCAAAAAATCATTCAACATGATCAACACTTGAAGGATTGATTTTTCACGTAGGTCAACAATATTTCCCATTTATATATACAGTATACACAGTAAAAAAATATTTGTTAATTAACCAGATTTTATGTTAAACCAGGTAGGTACACATAACTTTATGTTAAGTTTACAACCAACTGTAATCTGTTAACTAATTGAATAAGTAGTTTGTAATTATAACAGACATTTTGTAGTTTTAATAACAAAATTCTATGTCAATAATTCAACTATAATTCTTGTAATTTTAAAAAACGACCTTATTTTTACAAAAACCTTTTTGTAGACCCAGTAACAAAAGTATTTGTTGGAAATTGGGAACTTAAATTAAAAGAATTTTGATAAAAAATGTTTCTTTATTAATCAATTTTCTAAACAAAAAAATTTACACATACCTACATAAATAAACACAAAAATAACACACACACACAATTATATAACACACAATTTTGAAATAATCAAATTTTAAAGAAATTTGGTACAATATAACTACACACATGATCAAAATTGTTGCATATTTTTCTATTTTAATTTTCGCTTTGTATAACGTTCTGTTTTTTGTTGTTTTGGAATAAATTTTCATTTAATTGTTATAATACGTAAAATAAAGAAAATTTAATATACTGAAGTATTTTTGTAGGAAATAATAAAAATAAAAGTTTCGGAACCAATCATCCTCCTCGAAGACGATAGGTCCGATGAGGATGATGATTTTGAAAACAGTATTTAGATAAATAATTTATTGACAATAAAATACATAGTGTACATTACAATTATTAACAATTTTGAGAAAATAATCACCTTCATTCTATAAATAAAATTTATATTTAAAATGTTTTATCACCTAAATCGTTTCTTTCACTTTTTAAAAATTATATTTGGTTTTATTTTTAATATTTCCTACAAAAATATATAAGTACTTTAATATATTAAATTTTCTTTATTTTACGTATTATAACTATTAAATGAAAATTTATTCCAAAACAACAAAAAACAGAATGTTATACAAAGCGAAAATTAAAATACAGAAATATGCAACAATTTCGATCATGTGTGTATTAGTACTGCTACAACACTAACTAATGTATTTCGTAACTTTAGCCCGCTTCACTGTTTCAGTTTGAAAACCAGTGATGGCATCTTTTTTCGGATACTTAGCACTTAGCACATTCGTTAAATAGGTATAAGGAATTCGAATAACAATAATAACAGATTTCTGGTTATATATTATAAATACTCTGGATAGTTGTTACGAACACGTAACAAATTAGAATAAAATAAGCAGAAACATAAGTTGCAAACACTGAAGTCACTATCATGATTTTTTTTATAACAGTGCACTGTGTTATGAAAAATATATATTGTTTTATTTAATCCACATCCAAAAATTATTACAGAAGTTATAAAGCATTCAAGCCATAACATTTACTTTGCTTGACAGAAAAATATTAATAATTAAGGAGTAAATAAGTCCATAGACTTACCTTTTGCAACGTTAACAACCAAGGAGTACCCATGATGCAAAGAAAACTGTGTATCATGAGCAGTACCTAAGTATTTTAATTTTCGCTTTGTATAACGTTCTGTTTTTTGTTGTTTTGGAATAAATTTTCATTTAATTGTTATAATACGTAAAATAAAGAAAATTTAATATACTGAAGTATTTTTGTAGGAAATAATAAAAATAAAAGTTTCGGAACCAATCATCCTCCTCGAAGACGATAGGTCCGATGAGGATGATGATTTTGAAAACAGTATTTAGATAAATAATTTATTGACAATAAAATACATAGTGTACATTACAATTATTAACAATTTTGAGAAAATAATCACCTTCATTCTATAAATAAAATTTATATTTAAAATGTTTTATCACCTAAATCGTTTCTTTCACTTTTTAAAAATTATATTTGGTTTTATTTTTAATATTTCCTACAAAAATATATAAGTACTTTAATATATTAAATTTTCTTTATTTTACGTATTATAACTATTAAATGAAAATTTATTCCAAAACAACAAAAACCAGAATGTTATACAAAGCGAAAATTAAAATACAGAAATATGCAACAATTTCGATCATGTGTGTATTAGTACTGCTACAACACTATAGTTATAACTGATGTATTTCGTAACTTTAGCCCGCTTCACTGTTTCAGTTTGAAAACCAGTGATGGCATCTTTTTTCGGATACTTAGCACTTAGCACATTCGTTAAATAGGTATAAGGAATCCGAATAACAATAATAACAGATTTTTGGTAATATATTATAAATACTCTGGATAGTTGTTACGAACACGTAACAAATTAGAATAAAATAAGCAGAAACATAAGTTGCAAACACTGAAGTCACTATCATGATTTTTTTTATAACAGTGCACTGTGTTATGAAAAATATATATTGTTTTATTTAATCCACATCCAACAATTATTACAGAAGTTATAAAGCATTCAAGCCATAACATTTACTTTGCTTGACAGAAAAATATTAATAATTAAGGAGTTAATAAGTCCATAGACTTACCTATTGCAACCAAGGGGTACCAATGATGCAAAGAAAACTGTGTATCATGAGCAGTACCTATAACTGACCACATATTTTTTATGTCATTTTGCATGGACCATCACTTGGTCATTGCCAAAGAGGACCTACCAGTTACCGAAATGCTTTCCTCCACCAATTTTTCCAAATATCACACGTAAACGACCATAAAGTCATAAAAACTTTCGATAATAGCGGCAGATTACCCATCATTAAACAATAAAAGCCCAAGGCTTTGAATTTTACCAGCTAATTAGATTTTGGTCGAAAGCGAACAACAATAAAAATTAATTGTACGTGGTTGATGAGGTGCGTTACACCTGCAACGCGTAGCAATTTTTTACATTTTTACGAGCGATAGAAATCTCATGGTAATGTCTGGGCAATATGGGATGGGCCAAGGAGTAATGATGCATTATGAAGACAATAAAATTTCACAAAAAACTTTAGGCGCACAAGAGTTTAAACATGAGAAATTGGTGGATAGAAGCGCTTCCAAAAAATAGTTAAATGAATTTAAGAATTGTCAACAATACATTTAAAGCATACGAACTGTACATCATTTTTAAATAAATAGGTAGTTTTTTCACAAAAAAAAGGAAGGCAGAAGTCTTACTTGACAAATTTTGTTCAATTGCACAGCTAAATCGCTCACGTTATTTGTGTTTTACGTTGCAAGGAAAAAACTAAAAAACTGGTTTAGTACTCTATTTCGATTGATTATTCTTTATATCATTGATTAAGAAACTCAACGCTTAAATGCTTATATAGTAACGTTGGTGTGTGTATTTTATCTAAGGGATCATGGTGAATTATTGTGTTTTTAATTGTAAATAAAATTCATGAACTAAATCGTTGCATTTTCATGTTTTGCCAAAGAATCCAATTCGGTAAGTACATTTGTTGGTGCAGAATTAACTAATGATAACTTTACCTAATATAATTTATATTTAAGTTTGGACATTTTCAGGAAATTAGTAAAAAATAATTTTTGCACAAACATAACCTTAAAATCAACCATTTTTATATTTGAGTCCTCTAAAAAACGCCGACAACTGCATTTTAAACAACAAAATATACCTACGAATTCATGGCAACATAAATTATATATAATACATAATATAATGGTATTTTACCGTTGAGTGAAGACTTTAAAGAATTCTTAATCAATGCTTTTAATAATGCTAAATGCTGTTTACATTTAGACGACTTATTTGTTTGAGAAGAAGTTCCATAAGCCAACTAGGGATAGAAAAGGACCAGGAACCTAAAATTGTTGCCATATTTCTTTACATTATTCCTTTTTTTATTTCAAATAAGATGATACCTAAAAGAATTCCAATACATGCAAACAAAAAATTGTATTTCGAGCATGGTGCGTCGCCAAATTGAAACGTTTTTATTTATCAAAGTCAAACAGTGCTCGCCTATGCGGTTTTCTATGCCATATTTACCTATCAGAAATTTCATTTTCATTTTATGTACATACAATAAACTCTTTTACATGTACATAAAACCCACGAATTTATTTAAATTTTCTATTGACATTTAAATTTCAACGTCGGGTAAAGTGTGTTACGGGCTTGTGTAAATTTTTTAAGAAAGCGGTCCTTTGCAAACGTACCTACCATTTTTCTATTGAATTTGATGAATGTTGCGTCATTGTTTAGTGGGAGGATTTTGTCTTATAAAATCTAAGGTCTCCTTTACCAAATTGCCAATTGCCCCAACGAACAACTATCAGCATCACCATGAAGCCCTTTGTGGTAAGTAAACAAGAAAACAATTTGGATTAAGTGAGATACAGTGAAGTGTTGTGATGTGATACAAAACGGAATAAACAATCTGCAAAAACTAATGGACAATTGTGCTAAACACGAAGAATCCCTTCAGGAAAAAGCCGTCGCCATTAAGTCGAATTATTAAGCAAGATTTTTCCGTTACTTGACAACAAGGAGATATTGGACATCGTTTTAAAACATTTCTTTTCTTTCAGTTATTCGCAACTCTTTTCGTCATCGTCAACGCAAGACCTGAAGCAGGTTACAGTTACCAAAACCCTAACGCTAACCGCTTTAGCGGGAACATTGGAGGTAGCCTTGGAGGAAGCTCTGGGTTCATCCAAGGTGGATCATCATCAGGACTAAACAATCTTGGAGGTGGTTACGTCAATGGAGGCTACTCCCAAAGCTCGCAATTCAACAGCTTTAATGGTGGGCAAGGAGGAGGTATCCAAGGTGGCACTTTCGGAGGTCATCTAGGAAGCGGCCAACTCAGTCAAGGAAGCGGCCAATTCAGTCAAGGAAGCGGCCAATTCAGTCAAGGAAGTTCGGGCTTCCAGAGCAATGGTTTCTACCAAGGTGGTACCCAGGTTCACAAACACGTTTACGTCCACGTGGCACCTGAAGAGCCCGAAGAAATCCGCCAACAAGCCCAAATTCAAGCTGGAGTGAGACAGAAGCACTACAAGATCATCTTCATCAAGGCGCCTTCATACAGCACCCAACAGCAAATCATCGCTCAACAAAATGCTCTTAAAGAAGAGAAGACTTTGGTGTACGTTTTGGTCAAGAAACCTGATGCTTTGGCTGACATCAACATCCCAGCTCAAGCTCAAGCTCCAATCAACAAACCCGAGGTGTACTTCATCAGATACAAGGCCCAGAAAGACGGAATCAACGGTATCTCCGGAACATCTGGAATCTCCGGAATCAACTCCGGAATCTCCGGAATAAACTCTGGAATCTCCGGAATCAACTCTGGATTCTCAGGCTCGGGAATCTCTGGAGGCGGTCTTTCCATCGGTTCTTCCAGCTCTTCAAGTGGTTCTTCTTTCTCAACTGGTGGTATCATTTCTGGTTCCACTGGTGCAACAAAATATGGCCCACCCGGTTACGAAAAGAAATAAGTATTCCTATGTTACATTAATATAACGAAAGCTGCACTCTGGGAGATGTATATATATTTGTACATATTTTGTATGTAATTACTATTTTTAATTTTAATATACGGTGACAAATAAATGATTATTTTATTAAAAATAATTGTATTTTATTTTTTATCTTCTTTAGGGAAATTTAATTGCCAAGTTATAAAAAATAATTTATATTCAAGCGTTCTGTAATTTAAACGTTATTATTGTTTCTACTAAAGTAATTGATTATCGCCTAGGCCGTTTGGATCAATTTAAAAATTTGATACGTTTTATGTATCGTTTAACAAATAAAGAAGTGTATTTTATTAGCATAATGGTTTTTAATAAAAACCAAATATATATATATTAGGGTGAGCCAAAAAAACTAACCTATCGGATTTATGGGTTAAAATGAACCTACATACCGAGCAAAAAATTTCCCTGCAAGGCAAAATTTTTTGCTCAATTTTAAAAGATGTCGGTGAGCATTTTAAGTTTTCCATTGAAATAACACGTAAAAAAATCTTTTTTTCATTAAAAAGACTATAACTTTTGAACCGTGTAAACCGTGTAAAAAATTACTAAAACTGCAGTTTTACTGATTTTTTACACTTTTCAAAGCTTTCAAACATACGAATTTTTGAATTAAAAGAAATAATCCTGGTATAGATTCTTTGGGAAATTTTATGCTCTACAAGAATCCGCGACGTAAAAATTTTTATCTGAAACGGTTCCAAAGTTATAGTCTTTTTAATGAAAAAAGATTTTTTTACGTGTTATTTTAATGGAAAACTTAAAATGCTCACCGACATCTTTTAAAATTGAGCAAAAAATTTTGCCTTGCAGGGAAATTTTTTGCTCGGTATGTAGGTTCATTTTAACCCATAAATCCGATAGGTTAGTTTTTTTGGCTCACCCTAATATATATATATATATATATATATATATATATTAGGGTGTTTTAAAATAAGGCAATATTTTTTTTCAAATTCATGCAAATTCTCGTCACTTATGGTAAAAAAAAATTGTGTCAAAATTTGAGCTCTTAATATTAATTTTAAAAGGTCCATCATCGAATTTAAAGTTTTCCCATTGATTTAACATGGAAAAATAGTTTTTTAAGATTTATTTCGCCTGCTTGCTATGTAGAACTTTTTTTTATAAACAATTACTGGTCCTTTTTTAGCATTAAATTATCTACAAAAAGTCCAGTCTGTAGATTTAACTGTTTTTTTTATTAACGTTGAAACGTATAAACTCTAAAAAAATTTGATATTTTTACATTTAGCGGTTAAACTACAAATCGTAGAAAAAAAGTCAATTAGCAATTTTGAAGATCGTTTAATGTTCTACAAAATCGTTTTGCTCAATTTTTTTTATCACCCACAGTTCAAAAGTTATAAGTGTCTAAAATCCCATTTTCATGATAATGCATAATATATTATTATAATATTCACTGTAGGAAAAAAAGTTTTGGGATAATTTTGCAAAAATTGTTTAAAACAAGTTTGTAGAGCATTAAAAGATATTTAAAATTGCTAATTAACTTTTTCCTCTACGATTAGTACTTTTTCCGCTAAATGTAAAAATATCATTTTTTTTATAGTTTATACGTTTCAACGTTAATAAAAAAGAAAGAGTTGAATCTACAAACTGGACTCTATAAGATTTTTTGTAGATAATTTAATGCTAAAAAAAAGTTCTACATAGCAAGCAGGCGAAATAAATCTTAAAAACTATTTTTTCATGTTAAATCAATGACAAAATTTTAAATTCAGTGATGGACCTTTTAAAATTAATATTAAGAGCTCAAATTTGACAAAAGAACAATTTTTTACTGGAATTTTCGAAAATGTGACTGTTTGTGATGTCACAAAATTATAAAAATATTTCTGAATTTAATAATTAATAATGGTTATAAACTGGATATTAAGATTTTATTTTAAGCAAAAATTTCGAGGGGTAGACCTTACATAAAAATTAAACCAGTGTGACGTGACGCCAATGGGGAGGGGGGGGTACCATAATTTGTGACACTTTGTGACAAGTGGGGGAGGGGGGGTCAAAAATATTAAAAAAACGTGTGAAATCCTTTATGGACGGCCCCTAAACTCATTAATATTGCGGTCCGACAAATTAAAAATAGGACCATTTTCCCAAAGTATGAGATATCTGACGAAATCAAAACATACGCACTGAGGAACCAGCTGACTTTCGAAGGTGAGCAAACGCGCGCCTTTGAAACTCGTAAATGGGGTCGCGTCAGGAAGAACGCGTTGACGCGAAGGCCCAGGAAACGCACGCAAACCTCAAACGCACGCGAGTGACTCGTAAACCCGCAATAAGTTATAGTTTACTGCCGGCGAAATTAAAAGGTCACTACAATGTTCATATAAACTTTTCAAATATTGGCGTTTAGAAACTATTTAATAGATACTTTTTTATTTTTGTATTGAGATAAAATAATTTTCACATTTAGTATTATTTTACAATTTTAGTTGTTAAATATTTGACATCTGATGAATTGAACCTCACGCAATAAATAATAAAGCTAACTTCAGCATGTAAAAACGTGTTGCATACTATCCTTTTTCTATGACAAATGCTAAATATTATCTAAAAAATTATTTAAATTAAATATTTCTATAAAGCGACATCTATACGAAAATAAAGTATCCATCTCAATAAACATTTTTACGTAATTTTCACCATTAACATTGCCAGTTTTTATTTTAATTAAACTTTATTAAATTATTAAAACTTTAAAATATTAAAATAACTTTTTTTTTATTACTATAATTGCAAAATATTACCACAAAGTATTCTTACACGGGAAATGTTAAAGGTACAAAAAGTGACAGTTGTATTTATTGGAATTCCCGGCGTTAAAATCTCAAATTTATCTGTGTAAATCAAAATTTATCCTTTGAAAATAGACTAAAAATCGATATAAAAGCAGTTTTTAACAGTAAAAGAGAAGATAATGTTTTATGGGCACTGTACGCAAATTTTTTAACGCTTTATCAGTTAAATCTAGTTTTAACTGCACTACTACGGCGAAATCAAAAGGTCAGTACAAACGTTCATATATTTTTACCAAAATACTTTTGTATTTTTATATCGAGATAATAAGATCATTTTCACATTTAGTATTATTTTACAAGAAAGGGCCTTTATTTTAACAAATTTTGACAACTGTCAACTAACTTAAAATAACTTCAGCCCGTGACTAAAAACCCGTGCGAATTCAGCCCGTGACTAAAGCGCCATAAAGCCATAACTTATCAATGTGTATTTAAAAGGTCACTTAGTATCAATCCTATAATAGGAGAGGTTATTTTGGGAAAAATTTAAACACAAATCCGAAGAGTAGTTTTTAAGTTAAAAGTGTTAAAAAATGTATTTTATTTTTATTATTTTAATTAATTTACATAAAAGGAAAGAATATAATTTAAAGGTGCACCTTTAAATTATATTCTTGGTTTCAAAAATAAAAAGTATATATTAACTTCGAGTCGCTGTAGATGAGTTTGTAATTTCGTTTCCATATAAATATGAATCAAACGGACTAACATAGACATTTACAAACATAGATCAAATTGGTCGTTTATTCAAAAATGCTGTATAAGGTGTAAGTAAATTTACCTATAGGTAAATTCAATAGAATTTTCTGTACACGTTTTATGTTAAAATGCAAGAAAAAACACATATTTAAAAGGACAAACTTTTAATTTAAACCAGTATTCGCACATCAACAAAAATAATGAATGTCAACAAATATGTCGTCCCTACTCTTCAAGACAAAAAACGCCAACTCAATTAAGGGTCCACTTTTTTATGCACATTAATCATCAAAATTCTTCTGACAGGTGAAAGTGGTTACGCAATGCGTAGTACAAAGTCCCTTGAAGAATTTATGTTGATATTAAAAGGTCTAACGGGAATTTATTCCGCAAGGTCGTTCCACAGAACCAGCCTATCATAAGATTAGTTTTTTTATGACTACAAAATTTTATGTGGTACATATTTATTTATTAAAAAGTTCGTGGAGGCATAGAATAATAATTTAACCGTGCAACGTTCCTTTCAATGGTAATCACTATAAACAATATTTACCGTTAAAATGAATGAAATTTATAAATTCTATTATACATTTACTATTAAATAAATATCAATTAAAGTAAGACTACGCTTCTGAATGAAAACAATACAAACTAAATAAATATTTTTAATATCGTGTTAATTTTAAAGATAATAAATAAACATTTAATATGCAAATAGTTGTAACAACATTTTTACATGTGTAAGAGAAAAGCATATTACAAAATTCGGTAAGGTACTTAATGGTTTTTGCTTAAACTCACACATGTATGTATATCTAACAAAATTTAAACAAACCTTGGCATAAAAAACACATTTATTTGTTGTAAGAAGAAATGTCACATAAGAAGAGCGCGTCCTTTTCAAGTAATTAGCACCATAAATGCATATTAAAATATTGATATATAAACATTAGGATGTCGCTTTTATTACCTAATAGAATAATAAATGAAATAGTTTACAATACAGAGGGGGTTATTGATATTTGGTATATAATGATCTATGGGTTTCCGATATATCGCAGTGTTCATAAGTGACAATGAGGCCTATTCTTGTAAGTACAAATACCATTAGTTACCCAAACAAAGTTTTAATTTTAAATTTAATAACAATTTTTAAATTAAAAAATGTGGTCCAATTGGAAGACTATTTATAACAGTTTGTTTTTTAGCTAACTTTATCCCTTTTGGGTCACGTATATGGACGTCCTGAACCACCAGTGGGCTACAAGTACCTTGCTCCGCTTGAAAACAACGCTCTGGGTTCCTCTTTATCAGGTTCTTCCTTGACTCAAAGAACCAGCAGTCAAAATTCAGTACAGTTTAATAGTGGATTTAACTCGCAATCACAAAGTGGGTACAGATACATTGCACCTGCTTTAAACAGTGATAAAATTGGAACCCAAAATACGGCACAGTTTCATAGTGGTTCTTCCTACGATCAATCCAATGGAGGTTACAATTATAACGCACCATCACTCAACATTGCAACCCAAAACAGTGCAGTACCCATAGGAAACATAAACGCTCCTGTGGGTACCCAAGTCTTCAAACACATATCCTACCACGTGGCACCTGAAGAACCAGAAGAAGTTCACCAAAAAACCAATCTAGCTGCCGTGCAAGCCCAAAAGCATTACAAAATCATCTTCATCAAAGCCCCAACTTACAATACAGCCCAAAGTACATTGGTGCAACCTCAAGTACTGAACGAAGAAAAAACTCTTGTCTACGTGCTCGTCAAGAAACCGGAAGCACCGGAAGATTTAGTTATCTCTACACCAGCCCCAACTCAACCAAGCAAACCGGAAGTTTACTTCGTTAAATATAAGGCCAACAAACAACAGGTGGCCACAGAAGGTTCGTCTGTAGGAGTCGGATCTGGAGCAACAGGCGTCCAAGAGAACTTCGATAGTGCTGCTAAAAGCGGAAGTCAAAGTGGCACTTCCGGTGCCAGTGGTTCCGTATACGGTTTGCCCAAGTATGGTCCACCAAATTTTAAAAGTGGAAATTATTAAAAAAAATTAATTCAATTTAAAAAAATTGTAAATATATACCTATTTTTTATACCTGTGAAGTTCAATAGAGGTTTTATAAATAAAATTTTGAATTTTAGTGCTACTTGATGTTTTCTATGATACACTGCGCGTCAAAATTAACGCATAATAGGTAAGAATATTTCAACCATAAAACGCTTTTACCAACCCTAATGAAATTATTTATAAAAATACTTCAACTTATATCTCAGTTTACGTGTTCGAGGGTTTTTCGAGAAAATATTTTTAAAGCCCTTTTATTCAATAATAAAAAACGTTCCAAAAATAACTTTTTGGGAATTTTTTTTTAACTGAATAAAAAATATGCTGTTAAAGACCGTATTTTTGTTAGTATACCCTGAAAATTTTGTACAAATCAAACGAACAGCAACGAAGATACATCGCTTCAAAGTCGGTAAAAATGACCCCTTTTTGATTATATTGCTGAAAAGTGGTCATTTTTGACGACTTTGAAGAGCTGTATTTTTGAAACTGTTTGTTTGATTTGTACAAAATTGTCATGGTATACTAACAAAAATACGGTCTTTCACAGCATATTTTTTATTTACTTTCCCTTATAAATTTCCCTATAGAAGTTTTTTTCGAACGTATTTTATTATTAAATAAAAGGGCTTTAAGGATATTTTCTCGAAAAACCCTCCACGGTGTTTCTGAACGAAGTTTAAGTCACATAAAAATGACGCCAAAAACCGATTGCAGTTTCTTGTTCAGGGCCCTTTGGTGAATTAAAAATGATATTTACCAAAATCCTAGCTGATCCTCTTTTTGAAAATTTATGATTTTTTTAAAATTTTTGTTTATTTCAAAGTCTACCTTTGACAGAGTACACATTTGTACACCGATTTTTATAAAATTAGAGTATATTATTGAGGAGACTTAAAGAATACTTTTTAATACTGTTCACATAATTTGATATATACAGGGTGAGCCATAAATCGCTTATTTTTAATAAAGCAAAAGCGTAAATTCATGATTTTGGCATAACACGCAAAAATATATATACCTACCCATGTTTTTTTAGATATTTTTATGTTTATCAGGCTACAAAATGGGATTCTTATCAAGTCTTTATAAGAAAAATTGATTTTGAATAAAATTAAATAAAATACATTTTTTTGGAGATAAATCCGTTTTGTGCATTATGCTTTTTACTATATAAAAACGTGATTTTTGGCTAACCCTGTATAAATCTAATGATGTGATCAGTATGAAAACAGTATTCTCCAAGTCTCGTTAACAATATACTCCAATATTATAAAAATGTGTACTCTGTCAAGGGTAAGATAAACAAAAATTAAAAAAAAATTAAGAATTTTCAAAAAATTTCGAAAAGAGAAGCAGCTAGGATTTTGGTAAATATCATTTTAAAGTTACCAAAGGGTCCCGAACAAGAAACTGCAATCAGTTTTTGGCGTCATTTTTATGTGACTTAAACTTCGTTCAGGCACACCGTGCCTTGAACACGTAAACTGAGATATAAGTTAAAGTAGGTATTTGTATCCAAAATATTATAAAAATTCGTAAAGGCGTTTTAGAGTTTTTTAACTTGTACTCTGGCAAAGGTAGACTTTGCGATAAACATATCATTGAAAAAAAAATGATTTTTTTTAAAAATTTAAGAAAAGCAGTTAGAATTTTGGTAAATATCGTTTTTAAATCTCCAAAGAGTGCCGATCAAAAAACTTTAACCAGTTTTTCGTTTAAAATTGAAAACTTCTAAAAAGCCTAAATTAAACAACATTTTAAATATTCTCTAAGCGTTATTTTATTTAATTTTATTAAAAATCTATTTTTTTATAAAAGGTTAATAAGAATGCCATTTTGTAACCTAATAAACGTAGAAATATCGAAAAAAAAATGGGGATACATCTGTTTTGCGTGTTATGCCAAAATCATGAATTTACGCTTTTGCTTTATTAAAAATAAGCGATTTTTGGCTCACCTTGTATATATCAAATTATGTGAACAGTATTAAAAAGTATTCTTTAAGTCTCCTCAATAATATACTCTAATTTTATAAAAATTGGTGTACAAATGTGTACTCTGTCAAAGGTAGACTTTGAAATATACAAAAATTGAAAAAAAAATCATAAATTTTCAAAAAAATTCGGAAAGAGGATCAGCTAGGATTTTGATAAATATCATTTTTAATTCACCAAAGGGTCCCGAACAAGAAACTGCAATCAGTTTTTTGCGTCATTTTTATGTGACTTAAACTTCGTTCAGGCACACCGTGCCTTGAACACGTAAACTGAGATATAAGTTAAAGTATACTATAGGTATTTGTATCCAAAATATTATAAAAATTCGTAAAGGCGTTTTAGAGTTTTTTAACTTGTTATGCGTTAATTTTCACGCGCAGTGTATAAAGTATATTTTTACATAATTTTTTAATATTCTTTATAACAATTAATACTCTAAATTGTTAATAAAATAGTTATAAATACTTGATCCCTCAAAAAGATATGTTTAAAAATTTATAAAAACACAAATATTATTTACTATAGTATACTCTCTAAAAGTGAATTAGTCAAAAATGACTAATTGGCATAGCGAAAAAGCAGCCACCAATAATTCTCGTCAATAGCAATTTGTATCCCGAACATTTAGCAGTCAATTTCCATGTAAAATTGTCCACTGAATCCAAAAATGTCGTCAAAAGTTAAAAACAGTTTTTGAGAAATAGTCAAACTGCTCTACTTTCATAATTTTTGACGGTATTTTCGTATTCACGGAAGAATTTTACATAAGAATTGGCTGCTAAATTTTGAGATACCATGGTATCCCATGGTTAACCATGGTACAAGTGAAAAGGCAGCAACTATAGTAATTAGACATTTTTGACTAATTCATTTTTAGAGAGTACAATTTTTGAAAACCATAATATTTAATGGCCACGTAAATGTTTGGTCGCTATTAAAAACACTAAATCTCATTTTCTAACTCGTATATAAGACGCTCGCCGTCTATGTTATCTGAAAAGATTAAAATTCCAAGGGCACTGGAAGAAGCTAAGGCCCATTAGACCGACTTTCACTTCGATTTTTATTCTCTTATATTATATGGGCGGTCCAAACAAAAAAAACATCTTTGACTTCTTAATTAAGAACAAATTACGCAACATCTAAGGCCCTAAAGTGGGGAGATGTTATATAAGGAGCTGCAGGAATTTTGGTTTAGTTACTTAGTGCCTTTTTGTGGATAGAAACAGTTGGGATGAAATTTTACTTTGTAAGTACTGTGTTTTTAACTAGAATATTTTTATAAAGTAGTGTTATTTTTACAGTGTATTTTTGGCCTTATTGGTTGGGTCTATGCTAGGCCAGAGCCAATTACATTGCCCTACAAGATTCCGCAGAAGCTTCAAGATTTTGGGGCTTATTCGCACAACAATGAACAACAAGCATATAGGCAAGGTTATACAATCTTGGGGCGGAATTCAGATTACAACAAACCATCTTCGGATTATAAGCCTGCTGCTGAATATAAACCTGTAGAGTACAAACCGCAAGATCCAGAACCAAACCTTGGAGGTTACTTCTACAAACCCCCAGACTACAACAAGTTCACTGCGGAGGAGCCACCAACCCAACCAAAAATATTCAAGCACGTCTACATCCACGTGGCTCCTGAAGAGCAGGAGGAAGCCAGAACAAGGGTTCAATATGTTCAACCGCCACCCCAAAAACATTACAAAATCATCTTCATAAAGGCGCCAAGCACCGCGACTCGTTTAGCCCCGATAATCCCTGTACAACCCCAGCATGAGGAAAAAACTCTTGTATATGTTTTGGTGAAGAAAAATGAAGAACAAGAGGAGGTCGTTCTTCCTCCTGTACCCCAAAAGGAACCCACTAAACCAGAAGTGTACTTCATCAAGTACAAGTCCAAGAAAGACTCTGGTGGCGTTAGCTACGACTATGGTTATCCTCCACCACTGATTCATAACGACTCTAACAAAAATGGGGGGCAAGTTTTGGTAAACACTGCTCAAGGTGCCACACAGGAATTGCCATCGCAGATTCAAGTCCAAGAGTTTAGGCCTAATCCGTACTAAAGTGATTTTAATACACGTTTTTGTAAATACTATTTTAAGTGTAGGCCTATTTTTTATTTATAGAGAATAAATAATTTATTTAAAAATATTGTGTTTTATTATATGAATTTTAAAAAAACATCACAATGTTATCTATAACGACATAGGGTTTTAAAATTTCCGGAAAATAGAGCCGGCGGAAAAAACCGCAAAAAATGCAAAAGTAAATTTTTCTGACTATTTCCCTCGTCTTAATTTCCACCAATCACAAACGCGCAATTTTGATTTACAAATGGTTTCTAGGTGGAAAAACTGTATGACAGCACCTATAATTGTTAACTGTTACTCATGAAATAGTCTTTTTAAATACCATTCGGGCATCTAATTTTTCCTGTGAAAAAAATAAAAAAAAACACAATGCTAAGTAGTATTTTTTAACAAAATGCATTCGTGCAGGTGCCACCAGCACTCATGCTTCTTGTTAAAATTAGCAACGTGTTTTTTCGATTTTTTTCGGAAAAATTAGATGCCCTTATGATATTACTTAAGAAAATTTACAAATTTTTACGGATTATATAAGGTCATTGATTATTGTCATAATATTATGAGTATAATAATTATTCCTTTTATTTTAATTTATTAAGAATTTTCTACCGGGCCGTAAAAAAACATGTTCGGTGTATTAACATAACTTTATTTAACTTAATAAATCATTCATTATTTTTACCCATAATATAACAAGTGGTATGATTATCATCGATGATATTTTCGTAAGTAATACCTATCATAAGGGCATTTAATTTTTCCGAAAAAAATCGAAAAAAACACGTTGCTAAGTAATATTTTAACAAAAAGCATGAGTGCTGGTGACAACAAAAATCCGAGTCGAAGAGGAGGATTTTTGCACCTGCACGAATGCATTTTGTTAAAAAATATTACTTAGCATTGTGTTTTTTCGATTTTTTTCACAGGAAAAATGAGATGCCCGAATGGTATTTGACAAGACTATTTCTTGAGTAACAGTTAACAATTAAAATATAAATTGCAATTTTTGGTGACAACAGCTGTCAAGTTTTGCCGCGGGTAAACTCGAAAAAACTGCTGACAGGTGCTGTAACACAGTTTTTTCACCTAGAAACCATTTGTAATTCAAAATTGCGCGTTTGTGATTGGTGGAAATTAAGACGAGGGAAATAGTCGAATTGAAACCGTGCTGCTTCGGTTGAGTAAATATCATCGATAATTAATCATACCACGAGTTATATTTAGTGAGAAAATATAATGAATTATAGTAGTTAACGAATTGTCAGTTTGGCATTTGAAATTAAAATGTGCTTTAAAATATAACAAGACTAACAAACCTTATTTATTTAAACTTGCCTTAATTTCATTATCGTTTACACCAACCCATCGATAGTTTAGAGTTTATAATTCATTATTTTAAATAATCATACAACAAACACAGAATTTAAATGTCAAATCAAGAAAAGTGTCAAAATCCTTAGTAACGTGTAAACATGTAATATGGGTAAAATTAAGATTTGAATCTAAAAATTCAATTTTTTTATCAAAATTTTGCTACTTGTTCGATTAATTTTTGACTGATTATAATATTAATTTATTTTGTTGTTTATTCCTTTTTTGACTGCAATTAATTTTTTAAAGAATAAATTTTATTTTATTTTCTTATATTAAATTAAAAATGTAGTTTTTGTATTGTTTTATTTAGTCAAAATTAAAATTATTTCTAATGTAACTACAGGCTGCTTGTCCCAATTGGTAAATATTACCATAATCCTTCTAAGCCTTAATCAAATCCACGTTGACATTATTAAAAATATTCAGGTTTTTTATATTTAAAATATAGCTTGACAACCTAATAAAAACAAACTATAGGATTTTCTGTAAGCTACAGGAAGCGCAGAATTGCAAATTGTCTACAGGGTGATTCAAAACTCGAGGCGAAAAATTAAGGAATGTATACAGTTTTATATTCTTGATAAAAAATGTAAAATAAAATTTTTGGAGATATGGCTTTGTTTCCGAGATATTAGACTTTAAAGTATTTGCATGTGATAAATTTTTAACTTTATTAGGTACATAATATAAAAAATAAAAAATAATTAAATCAAATGTTCAAAAATACCACCATTAGCGCAAATACAGGCTTGGCAACGCAAAATAAGGGAATCGTATACTAATTGCATGTTTTGTCTATTTTGAGTGCATTCGACTGCATTAATAATTTGTTCCATTAATTGTTCTTGGTTATTAATTTCCACTGCGTAAACCAGTTGTTTTAAATGGCCCCATATAAAATAGTCCAAAGGGTTCAAGTCAGGTGATCTCGCAGGCCATAACACCTGACCACGCCGACCAATCCATCTCCCATTAAAAGTTTGGTTTAACCAGGCGACAACATTTCGTCCAACATGCGGTGGTGCTCCGTCGTGCTGATACCACATACGATTGTATACCAAATCCACAGGAAAATCTTCCAGCAAATTTGTGAGATCGTTTTCTAAAAATTGCAAGTACGCATATGCATCTAAACGATTAGGAAGGACTTGAATCGGGAGTAATTGTCTGTTAAGGACTCCGCCCCATACATTAATAGAGAAACTTTGTTGAAAATTTCTTCTTTTAAAAGCGTGAGGATTTTCTTAAGACCATACATGTTCATTACGGCAGGTATTTATGCCATCCCGAGTAAAAGTAGCTTCGTCCGACCAAAGCGTCTCTCTGAAGAAATTTTCATTTTGTTCATGCTGCTGAAGAAGCCATTGACAAAAGGCGAGTCGTTGCATGTTATCTCCTGGGTGCAAATTATGTACTTTTTGTTTATCAAATGGAACTTCGGTTTTTAAGGTTCTCCAAGCAAAACTTTGGGATACATTAAGACGGGTAGCAATGCGTCTGGTACTAATTTCTGGATTATCAAGCACAGAATCTATCACTTCTTCTTCCCTCACAGCATCATAATAATTATTTCGGGTAGCACCACCAGCACCAGTTCGGGAATTACCAATTCCAAACTCTGGTAGCCTTTAATAAGCATCGGAAAACACCCGGCGAGATGGTTGTCGTTTATTAGGGAATCTTTTGTTTTACTCCCAACAAGCTTTTAATGCGTTGCCATCACAAAAACCGTATAATAACCGTAAATAATATCTGCATATTCTTCGTTAGAAAACTGCATGATTAACCAAACAACTAATCCAACAGAGCAACTTTTAAATTTGTAAACAATTTTTGTTGACTGTCAAACTTTAAAGTCTAATATTTCGGAAGCAAAGCCATATCTCCAAAAATTTTATTTTACAGTTTTTTATCAAGAATATAAAACTGTATACATTTCTTAATTTTTCGCCTCAAGTTTTAAATCACCCTGTATAAGCTTATAGAAAGTTATAGATTTGCTTTGTTCTTTATAGATATCTTGAATACGAATCAAGAACAAGTATTATTTAGTATTTTTGTATACAGGGTTTGTAAAAAAATACTAAATAAAACATTATAAAAATTATTATTTTATAAAAGTGTAGTAAAAAAATACCAAATTCATTAAAATAAAAAATATTTTTATTAATTTTCACATATTTACAAAAATAAAATCCTAAAATATATCATCAGTACACTTGGCGACCATTTGCGGTGGATTGGAATTCTCAGTACCTTTTCTTTTGTGGCAAGTACTTTCTACTTGGTGGTCCATATTTGGCGGCTCCTCTTGCAGGGCCGCTTGATAAGCTACCTTTGTACGAATCCGTCACCGGTTTTTCTACCTTTGGCGCTTCAGTATTCACCACCTCCTGCTTCTCTTCCTTCTGGGTTTTGTATTTGATGAAGAACACTTCCGGCTTGCTTGGTTTAGTTGGAGCCGGGGTCGGGACTACGATGTCGTCAGCGGCGTCGGGCCTCCTCACCAACACGTACACAAGGGTTTTTTCTTCGTCTTGGACTTGGGAGGGGATTACTGGGGCTACATAGGTCGGTGGGTCTGGGGCTTTAACGAAAATAATCTTGTAATGCTTCTGGGGGGCTACTGGAGTTACTTTCACTTTCGGTTGGATTTGCTCGGGTTCGTCGGGGGCCACGTGGACGTAAACGTGCTTGAAAATCTGTACAGGAAGTGAAGCGGAGGTGGCTTCTTCAGCAGGGGCCACAACAGGGGATTTGATTTCGTTGTCGAAAACGGGACCGCTGGGGGTCTCCTTGGAATAACCCTCTTCCCCTTTGATTTCTGACTGGAATGCACCGCCACTGGTTTGTTTTGGATAGTTATAACCCTGGGGGTGGGCCATAGTCAGCCCCATAAGGCAGAAAGTCAGCTGAAATAGTATTAATATTAATAAACTGTTTTCCTAAATAATATTTGTCTTACCAAAATGGATCTCATGTCTTTTTGGAAGATGTTGTTAGATGAATGTACTGATTCGTAAAATGGACGGTGCTTTTATACCCCCTATAAAATTAAAAAATAATTAACAAATTTTAATATTAATTTTAATTTTAATGTAGTTTAAAAGCACAGATTTGTATAACATTAACAATTTTAGGATGCACTGAATGAAACGCATACTCTCATTTTAATTGATATGTAAATCATATTTAATTGTTTGTATGCTTAATGAAAAAAAATCTTGTTTTTGTACATATTTTTATAAAACCAAAAAATACTCTACACATTTGCTAATGTAGGTACTACCATTTTTTTGTGGTTAACATAAATAGTATATTATGTATCAAGTTGATAAACGCCATTTTAGTCACAAATTTAATTTAATAAGTGAAAAGTTTACATTTTCTACGACAAATGGGTTATTTTCAAATTTCTTGTACATTTGTTGTCCCCCAACTTTAATATTTTATAAAAAATTGAGTTTAACGCGATTTGGAACTTTACTAAGCTAAATCAATTGGTTTAAGTGTTTTTATCAACTATATATTAGCAAAAATGTAAAATTTTAAATTTAACTCTATAAAAATCCCCAACAGTACAGAAAAGTAGCTGCAATAATATTTACTACTAAATGCTATTTAAACATATTAGAGTAAAATAACATCCTCCTTTAAATACAAGTGGTTAAAATAACCCATAAAGTTTGTCCCTTAAGTTTGGTCCCCTAGGTCACGTCTCCTGGGTCACAGCTTTTATAAATGACCTTTTGAATTAAGCGCCCATTTTTTGGTGCTTCCCCCTTGCGGCAATGTATTTGGTAACGGATTTTAGTAGAAAATTGTGTTTTAAACACACAACACGTTTTTCTCCTGTCACAGTAATAAAAAGAAGTAAAGGTACCAGTTGGACTGGTAGATCCACAAAACAATGTTTATATTGACTTTTTATTATTGTTGTATTATTATTACTAATAACTACAACTTTTTATTAATTTATTACTCGTTAAATTGGACAAGCTGGGCCCAGATAAAAAAATCGAGAAAAAACGTTTGCAATACGCATTAAAAGAAAATTTCTTAAACACACTTTTTTTAATGGACATTTTTTAAATATATTAAAAATACTTATGTATGTAAGAAAGTTGAGAAACTACTTAGTTTAGTACTTATAAATAATAAATTTATGTTCTTTTTTAAACAAATCCTAGTGTAAATAAAACCTTAAAAGGATTATTAACAAGCAAAAAAATATATTTTCAAAATGATTAAGCATTTTTATATAAGATTTTTAATATGTTAGTAAATTTGTGACCCTGGGGACCATTTTTTTTCTTTTTAAAGGGCTTATTTAAAAAAAATCCAACTGCCCCCTTTTAGGTGATAAATAACACCCCTAAATAAACAAAATTAAAAAAAAACAGGTTTGTAGATTTTATTTTTGTTTTTACTTTTCCTTCTTTAAATGTACAAGAATTTTGAAAATGACCCAAATACAAATATAATCTAAAAAAATTTTAAACTACTTAAATATTTTTATAAAGCGACATTTATACGAAAATAAAGTAATGATCCCAATAAACATTTTTGACGTAATTTTCAGCATTAACATAGCCCGTTATTATTTTAATTAAACTTAACAATTATTGATACTTTATAAAAAATATGATTATGTTAAGAAAATATCCTTTGATTTTTTTATTACTATAATTGGAAAATATCACAAAGTATTAAACATTCTTACACGGGAAATGTTAAAGGTACAAAAAGTGACAGTTGTATTTATTGGAATTCCCGTTAGAATTTCTACCTTGGGAATCTACCGGCGTTAAAATCTCAAATTTTTCTGTGCAAATCAAAATGTATCCCTTGAAAATAGACTTACAATCGAAATAGAAGCAGTTTTTCACAGTAAAAGAGAAGAAAATGTTTTATGGGTACTGTACACAAAATTTTTAACGCTTTATCAGTTAAATCTAGTTAAATGCACTACTTCAGCATAATCAATCTTTTCAAATATTGGCGTCAAGAAACTACTTTTTATTTTTGTATTTTTATACTGAGATAATAAAATAATTTTCACATTTTTACTAGAAAGGCACTTTATTTTAACGATTGTATGACATTTGACAACTAACTTAAAATTAACTTTAGCCCGTGCCTAAAAACCTGTTGCTAACCCGTTACTAAAGCGCCATAAAGCCACAACTTGTCAATGTGTATTTAAAAGGTCACTTAGTGTCATGACAACATGTACGATAATGGACGTTTTAAAGGTGGCAGTAGAAAAAAAAATTAAACTCAAAATAATGTATTTTATTACTAAAATAATGCTGCCTCAAAACATTTTTTTGCCAAAGTATTTGGCTAATTGAACAAAATTATTATTATGTTTGGACAGGGCCGGCTCTAGGAATTTTGCGGCCCCGGGCGATAAGTAAATTTATATTTTTAAGGAACACCAGTTCATTATTGTGTTGTAATCGCTTACTACAATTACATAAAAATGTTCTTTATGCCAGTGCGGGCATAAACATCTACTTAATACCCTTGGTACATAAATAACTATTAAAATGTATACATTACAGTATACTACGACGTTTTTTCCACCATACGTTAAATAAGCAAAGTTTGATATTTTGCATTATGTAAAATTTAGAAAAATGTTTAGTGGGAAAGTTTTTTTAGATCGTTCATAAAAAAAAATCAAATTTAGGAAAATTAAAATGTCTTTTTAAATGTTTGTTAAATAATTAATTTGGTCTTAAAGAGGGATGCCTAAATTTTGGGTGGTCCCAATTTTTTATCATTAGGATTTCACGAGCCGAAACTTTATCAAATTTTACTTAATAGCTTTTCGCTTAAGGGCTAAAATTGAAAAAAGTGAGGTTAAAAATGCTTGATAGTTGTCTGAAATCAAATAAAATTGGCTTTAAATTCCTTGCGGTAATTGAATAAAATATTGTGTGCGACTATTGGTCAAAAGAGGAGATTCACTCGTGCGGCAAACTCCACGCTCGAGGAATCTCATCTTTCTTCCACTAGTCGCACAATATACTATAATTTATTCTTTTAAAGTGAACTAAAAATATTACTTAAAAAATTCTAAAATTTCTAATTAAGTTTGTTTTCTACCAAAATGGATTTTATATTGTACCTACTTAAGGATGATGTGGAATAAATTTTAAAAATTAATATTATTGTTAAATAACGCGTAAAACCCAAAAAATTGTATAATGTATCCAATTTTAGGATGCATTAAATAAAATATAGGATCTCATTAAAACTTATTCAAATTAAAATTAATTATAAAAAATGATAATTAAGTTTACTTTTTTAAAATAGCTAATGTAACCAATTAAAAGAATTGATAAAATTCTTGAAATTAACGTTCCATATTATCTTTTCGAAGGAAAATATTTTCTGTACAATTAGCGTCGTGTATTTCTAATTAGGCAATTCATTTACTCTTTGATAACATTTTTAAATGCATATATCTCTAGTCGACATCATGTTAACGATTAATCTCTGATTTTCAACATTGTTATTGGATGTGGCCCATACATATCCTATTAATAAAGTCAAGATATAAAACTGGTTGTAGTTTTGCGTGGGTGAATGACTTTCTTTTCCACAATACACAATGGAATAAATAAACAAAATTTAAAAATGGTTTTAAAAATTTAAATTCAAGCAGTCAATCTATAATGCTTATGTTTATTGTGATATGATTCATAAATAACGTTTTTTCATTGTGATTTTTTGGGATTTACTTTCACACTGATTTGCATTTTGTAGGTGTATGTTGTTTTAGGAAATTGCAATGTAGAAATGTTTATAACTTTAGGAAAGTTGCTACTCTGGGAACTCTTGCAATACAGAACATTAAAAAAAATAAAACATTTATAAAATGTACATATTCCTAAGATGAAATTTAACAAAATGTATTAAATGTCTTATTTATTTTATTGTTGTACCTACAGTGTGACCCATTTATTTGCAACTCACCCCTGTAAAATCTTTATTTATTGTGCGAATTTAACCGGATTTGTTTTAATGTGATGATCTTGATAAACTGTATTTTTGGAGCAAAATTGCCGTATTTTTACATTATTATTAAAAAAATTTGTAGCCAAATTAAAAATGAACAGTAATAACTATTTACAAAAAATATTCTGCCATGTTATCCATAAAAAAACATTAAAATAAAATTAAACTATAGTAACATGGTATAAATATTTATACGCTTATTTTGACAAATAAAAAGGACTTTACAGTATATTGTAAGATTTTTACTTTTTATTAAAGTGTATTTTGCATTAAAAAATAAAGTTAATAAATAGCCTTTTATTTTATCCAAGTAAATTTTTTTCGTAAAATAGATAAAAAGACTACTTTTAACTATTTATTTTCTTTTTATATTAACTCAGCTACTTAAATCCCTTTTGAACTGTTTTTTTAATTCAATTACACCCATCTCAAAGACAATCCGGCGACACACTGTAGAAGCAAAGATTTCTATCTATCTATTTAAGATTATTAAAAGCTCATAAAACCTGAGATCTAGTATTTAACTTAACCATTTTATTACCTAGTAGGTATACCTTTATTTAGATGGCTATGTATATGAGAGTAGTGAAGTTACTTAACCTATTTAAATAAAGGCTTGGCATCATTAAGGCGACCAGTTTTAAAAATTCTAAAATATGAAGACCACAAAATGCGTAATTTCTTATAAAATTTTTGTTAATAATATCGAGAAAGTATGGCAATTTTACAATTACATATTTTACTGAAAATATCCGATAGATGAAATTGGAGAAAGGAATTTATAAATAATAATATACAAGTTGGCGGATTTAACCAAATTTTGACCAAAATTAATGATTTAAGATTAAGATAAATTGTTAATTTGCAAAAATTAATTTATTTTCTTTTTTCAGGTAAGTTCCATTATGTGCCAATTTTCTAGGTAAGTTGTTTTATAAAATGTTTAAAATTGGCAATA